GAAATTTGATACACACGAATATCAACGATGCATTGCTCCTGAAAGATTCAAGGCTGCGTTTGCAAATTGGCGGATCCATATTTGATCCTTCGCGACGGGAGGGTCGAAGGGGGTAAATTTTTTTTTTTTAAAACGCCTGCAGCCACATCTGCAACTCTCGAAACGGGGATCAGTGATTCAGCTATTGTTGCAACCTCCGTTGTCGCGTGCCGGTTGCGTGTACCAACCCCCCGTCCGCACCTATCCCCTATTTCTCTACGTTCGGTGTCCGTTATGATAATTTCTGCGGAGCTCCTGCCGCAAGACTGTAACTGAAGCACGTTGCGTAAGAATGATGCGATGAATACGATTTCCAGCTACTATTGTTGCAGCTCGAGCTGCCGTAGAAACATTAAGGCTGCTACGACTGAATATACTTGTTACGTTGGCTCCAGATACAAACAGATTTACATACTTTAGCATTTCCCTGCAGCTCGATTCGATGGAAATGGTCCCGTCCTTTTTTTTTTTTTTGCCCGGAGAATATTTTTCCTAGTTTTATTTCTCGTCCACTTTCGTTCCGGAGCTTAGAATAGGCTTTGTGAAAAGCATTTCGAATGTGCAAGAGAAATTCTCGATACTGTATTATATTGCGTGTAGTCTTGCGAAATAAAAAAAAAGGCAGAAGAAAGAGATGGTTGTAATCGAAAGTAATAAAACCAGCCAGATTCAAGGTCCATTTATACGAAACTTGGCACAATGTAACCAAAAATATTCGACCGGTATTTTTGTTGATGTACCACGGTCCGTGCTGAAAGAGTGAAACCTGTCCCTAAAGTACACATTTAGTCAAATGTCTCGCGAACTCTTGGATTTGCAAAAACTCCACTTGTTGCACGAAAAAAATTTTGGTTTTGATTAATTTCTAAATATTTACATACCCGTATATCGGATGTTTGTACTCAAATATAAAATACAGATTGAGAAGTAAATCTTAAGTGAATAGAACTAAAAAAGCAACTTGTTTTCTTAACTTTCGACGTTCCTATACAAAGTCTACAAAAATTCGTGGACCCATAGTGAAGAGTCGAGGCAAATACAATAGTGTAAACAGACTCTGATGGGTCCTTACCCTCGGTTAGAATTCGTTATATCGAGTCAGTAACGGCGTAAGTGAAATCATCATCGAGAGTACCGTGACTGATGCAAGATCGACTTATGCAAATACGTGCTAGAAAAATTTACATACTCTTCGAACGAGTGTCTATGTTTCGGAGTCACAGAATGAAAATATTTCGACAAAGCAATTAACGTGATCCTTCTTTATGGAACGAGTCGATCGTTATCTGTCGTTTGCGTAATCCCATGGTTGTTTATGGGTTTTGGATCGAAAGTTTGCTACACCCGGTATTATTGCAAAGCCACTACAGATCTTGGGGTCTCGGGTGAAGCGCGTGCATGTGTAACCTCTAATAGCAGATGGCATGGGGCCCGTGTGACGAGCAGCTGCATCCGAGACAGAGAGTAGAAACTAAAGGGAGAAACGAGGAGAAAGAGGGGGTAAAAGACCGTGGAACGTACTCGTGTCGCGAGGACCAGCCAACCCCTGTGATTCAGTGGAAAAAACCCTCGATGTGCAGGCTTCGATGTCTGAAAAATTCTACGAAACAGAATCTGTCGATAGCGGAACGCGTTAGCTCCTCAATGATAAGCTCGCAAACTGTTCCCGGAAACAGAAAATTACCGTGACACGCGTACATCAAAACAGAGTCAGGCAAAATTATTTTACTTACAAACATTATGTTCATTAACGTAGAAAAACGAAACTAATTAATACTAGTTTTCGAACGATCGAAACAAAACGAGCGAAGCAATGAAACGCGATCAAGCATGTTTCATCAACCTTTTAACGATATTGTTTTAAATGCCGGTGAAACGGTCTACATTTCGCTTCTTTTATCGTCAACCGATTCAATATCGTTCCGCTGGAAAAATATTTCCATTATTAAAACCTTTTCATTTGAAATTGTATTTTACGTTACTTTTATTTTCGCTTCGCGACTGTTCGATGGGGTTCGTGTCTGAATATTGATGTAGGTGGATGTTCGGCGGATATTGTGTAAATAAAAACATATGCAATCACCTTCGACAGCGTTTTTCGCGGAGAATGTAAAGGTGCGTCGATTAGCACGATAAAAAAAAAACAACACATTAATTACCTTCGTGTGTCCTTTACGCGTTCACCTGGAAAAAAATTGATATCATTAAGCGGTAATATTTTATGCGCATAATTATTTTAATGTTAATACTTTTTTTTATATTTTCCTAAACTGCGAACAAAATAGGAAAAAATATTCAATCGAACGTAGGAGTTTACTGTTGTCTTAAACACGCGACGCCATTTTATCATTAGAACTATCCGCAATTATGATGTATTTATTTGTACCAAAGAAATTAAAATGATAGATACTGGAAGAAATGTATAATGCAATGGAAATAAATGTTTATTCATTCTTTTATAAAGAACTAGATTTTTATTAGAAATCATGAATGGGTCATTTTGACTACTTTGGTAGTTCTAGTGTTAACGTCGCGTCATCGATCAAATGTCGATTATCCCCTTGTTCTGTTACAAAATTAATCAAAGAACGATTGGCAATCATTCAAAATAAGAAGACGTAATTCGAGGTAATATTTAGCATAGAGTTCCATGTTCTTTCGCTCGTGTACGGGCGATAAAACGTTATCTTATTAGCTTATTACAGCAGGTAACGGGGTCTGCCAAAATCTTACAGTTACGATCGCGTGTTCGTACGTATCATTAGGTGTTCAAAGTTTGAAGTGGTTGGAGAGGTAGCAGTAGTAACACTGTATAGTGACAGCAGCTGCAGGGATCTCTTTGATCGAAGAGAGAGCAGCTGGTTCTCTCTTGCCACTCCCGAATCACGATTCGAGTTCTGGTTTCGGTTCTGCTTCTCGTGTCTGTCGCGCCATATGGATGGACTCGTTTCGAGTGGGTCCACGGGAGTTTCAGGAAGCGCATTCTTGACACGAAATATTGTTAAAATATTCATCGTTTAAGTACAAAATAATTCTTGAGATCCAACTTGGCCACTGCGATCTAATTTTCTCAGTAGTCTTTCATTCATCTATTTTTAGGCATTATTTTGACACTGAATTTCTGTATTTAAACAGTAACGTTTCTAGATAACAGAATATAAATGTCCAACAAAACCAATTTGGACTTTGGGAATGGTAAGAATATTGCATTTTATATTGCCAAAAGATCTAAACCTTGCAAGATTCATTGCACGATAATAAATGCTCCGAGTTAGGAACGATGAATAACCACCAATACATCGCTCAAGAAGCTTTTCATTGCTCGAGTCTTCATAAACGAGTAAAATTACTTTAAAAACATCATCGGGAAGTGCTGATATATGTTAGTAGCTGTCCAAATTATTTTGGGCCTTTGCTTTGTCCTCCGTTTGACTAACTGTTCCGACATCGACTTCAGCGCTCGACACTTTCATCTCCCAAATCCTTACTTTTCACCACAACGTAATGAAACTTTGGCGTCTAATTTCCGAATAGTATTACTTTCGAAAAAAATCTTACTGGTGCCCTTAAAAAATTCGTCAGACAGACCGCGAGCTTCAAGGGGATGAGAGTGGGCAAATATAAGAAGATTGATCGATGGAAAATTGATGCAACTGCTCGGTTGTCCGGTTCCTCTCGCCAGGGGCAAGATTCGGTACGCAAGTTTGACCGTTCGTTTCAAACGAAGCGTCATTAAGGATAGCCCTTCCTCGGGGTGCAAGTGGTCCGCGATTATGTGATATAATAGAGAGGAGGATGATCGGAAAGCGAACGCGTGCGCGGCGTGTGCTGATTGGGACGCGTCGCGAGGGAGAGGGTGTAAGAAGGGTGATTTAGCCCCTGTATCGAGGTCGCATTGTGCTCGTCGCCATTCCCGTCGTCGGTGCCAGCTGTTGCTATTTTCCCCCCCTTCCATATCGCTCGTTTTGGCTCCTCTCCGACAAAGCTTTTCCCAGAGCTTTCCTTTGTCGAGCGTCATCCACGTTCGTGCCAGTCGATCTATACCAAAATTAATCAAAAGGGAACGACCCTGAGCACGTGGGCAACCCCTACTGCCTCTCGCTGCTCAAACGAAACGCAGACGCTTCTCTCCGATCAAAATATTAAATAGCGCGTCAAACCCTCGGGGGCACCGACTCCCCAACAATAAGAGCTAGCGGGGTTCTTGGTTATGAAGAGGAGGGGACTTGGGGGTACGGCCACGTGCCAGCCATGGGAATATAATGCCGCAACGGCCACGTGCCCGCTACCTAACGGGTGTTCGACGACGAAACGACCACCGGTTGCTTTTTTCGCCACACGGATGCACAATAGCGGCGAGAATAAGTGCACCCATCGCACGCAATTCCGCGTACGAATGCTCCTAACTGCGGAACCAATTTGTTCACACCGGAGGGGGGAGGGTGGATCTTCTTCGATCGTCGAAACTTTTACGTTTTGACCCTCCGAGTTCCGTTCGATAAGGAAACAATCTCTGCGAAAGGGCAAGGGCGTCACGATTAATTTTCGAATTAATCTTTGGAATATTGTAATTTCGCGAAAGAAAGTTGAACGGTAATCTTCCTGGGGTGATTTCCGGAGGTTGAGCCCTTCGCTTTCGCACCCCCCAAGATGGATTTTCCACGCTTCACCACGAATAGAATGTAAAGCTTACTCTATAAAGGTTAGGAGCGAAACAAACGAATGAAACAATCGATAACTAGTCGATACCGGAATCGCGAACCACGAACCGTCAGTGGGGAGAACCCCCTCCTCTGAGGTACGAATCCACGAACAAAGCGAAATTCGGCAATCGCGATCAGAAAGACCAACGAGCAATACGAAAGAGAGAGAGAGAGACGAGTGTAATTTCAATTTATTATTATCTTATATTCCTTTAATTTATAATAAACTAACATCTAATCTTGTAACACGAATTTGTTACGAAATTGCAATGAATTTTATTTTGCTCGGCTGTTTGTGTTAATGTTGCACCAAAACTTCGTAGTTTTTGAATGACAATTCCTTGCCGTCGTAGGGCACGTACAGACAACCGTGGCTCCTGTGAATCTGTAGAGAACAAACGAGATCCTGTTAATGATTTTAATCAAAGACATTGATATAAGAGAATGGTAAAACTAAGGGTTCCGATATAGAAAATTAAAAATTCTTCTTTTTTAAAAACTCACCTTCCCTACGCACGGTACGCCATTCTCGACCACACGACCAATGTAAAGCGGTTCTCCTTCCACCGTTTTTCCACCTTCGACCGCGTATGGTGGGACGTGACCGTGCCCCGCTTGAACACAGTTAAACTTAGTAGGCAGCAGGATCTATCGAAAAAAAGAAATCTTTCATTTGAAGTTTAAAACGATAAGTTAAGTTCAGAAAGTAACGCTGCAATTATCTATTAATCTATGGGATACAAGTTATATATACAGCATATCTGTACCAAGTCCGATGTTATTTATAGATTGCCGTTGGAAGGAAAAGCAAATGAATCTCTCTTATCTCTTATTTCCTGACAAAAATGGGTGGAGCTTGCGATCGTCAGGTTCCACGTAACGAAGTTCAACCGATCTATAATCAATGACGAATTTTTCGTTTGCGCGAATTCAAAAGTTTGCTTGTTACCTTTGAAATCGCATTTTTTGTGCTCGATGGAGTTATGACTAACATAAGCAATGCCATGTTCCGGTTTCACTTTTGCAGGTAGCACATTGCCGTGATGATGAGCGCGACCAACGACCAGAGGCACGCCATCCAGATCCGGGCCGATGTGAATCATTCCCGGCATTATACTCTGCTCACCCGAGAACTTGACCCATTTGTGTCCTACGACAGGGAATTCCAAATATCGGTAAACTTAAATCTACAAAAGGTCTCTCTACAGGTTGAGACTAGGAATTTATTGGCAACGTTTTGATTATACTTTGCTTTGGGAAACCAAACATGGATATATTTCTGTAGGAGTTTTGACAATGATAAAGCCAAAGCCGAAATTAGCAACAGAGAAATTCAACGTGATTCATAACACCGGTGTTGCCAGCGAATAATAATGTCTGCGAGACATTCGAGCGAAGATATTGGCTTCGTTTCTTGGGGAACACTTTGTGCACTTGAGGAGCATTTTGGCCTTTGATAATTTTTGTTTCCCCAAGAAACGAAGCCAATATTTTCGCTCGAATATCTCGCAGACATTATTGTTCGCTAGCAACACCGGTGTTATAAATCACGTTCAATTTCTCTGTTGCTAATTTCGGTGCTAGAATATCGAGCAATCAGTAGTTACACGCAACAATTAAACTTTAATTTGGGGTGCGTTTTGTCGAATCTGGAGCACTTTGGTTGCAATTGCCGATCGATCTGAATCTGGGTAAATCTGAACGAATCGAAGTCGATAAACTTAACGCAAGCTGTGCTCGTTATTTAAACGCTGATTGAATCTATTTCTGTTTTAACAAGAGAGACGTTTTGGATTTACTATTAATAAATAATAATAGCAAAGAGAAGTTGGAAAACGATAATTATCGTTATCCAAATTCTTAACATACGCTACTAATGATAGAAATGAAAGAAAATAATATATATTCTAGCTATTAAAATTCACAATACTTATGATACTTGTCAAAATTATAATATAAATACTTCCAATCAGTCACCATTCATCTTCAAAGTTCACACAGGCACTTAGACTTGATTTCGCGGAGTAATTTGCACTAATTGTACGAGCGAAGACGAGCGATTTCGCTTAAATACTGGATCGATTGAGGAAAGACTTGCTCGCGATACTGAACATCGATGTTTTATATTTAAGAATGCTATCAATCTTATCATTAACCCCTTGCCGTACAATGACTTGTTGTAAGTTCTTGATGTCAAGTTTACACAATCAGGAAGCTACTGACTGGACATCAAATCTTATTTGAATCAACACAGTTTTACATTCACGAAGTATTGATATAACAAATTTATTCTTTTTCGTGGCCACCCCCTTGTACGAACAAATTTAAACAAAATTAAACAGTATCGATTTGACAAATTATTTGAAATTAAATCGTACGTCAAGGGGTTAAGAATTTCGCATACATTAAGCGATAGGATATAACGATGATTCCATTACAGGGGTAAATTAAGGGGAGTGCGGGTATTTCGGGATCCCGAAAAATTTTTAATATTCCTGTATCTGAATCTAAGAACGACTTGGGCAGTATCGTTCATTTAAAAATGAACTTACAACCGGGTTTTTCACTTCAAACTTAGATTTTCGTATTCTATATTAGACAGAAATGTAAAATTAAGGGGATGTTCTGTCTATTTTGTATTGGCGTTCCACACGTACATTAACTTACATTTCAAGCATTCACAATATTTTCTACAAGCAAAATTAACGCAAACTACACGAGCTATAGGTCATTGAAATGTTTCCATCAAAGAGAAATAAAAGAGCAGCATAATTGTTGAAAGGGATGTAGTTGTGGCTAAAATTATGAAATAATCAAAATCTTAATAAGTAAAGAACTGGCGACAAGTTATTCTAAATTACAAGATATTAATTCAATCAAGTCGAGATCAATTTACATATTTACTTCCATTCTCTTTCCTCGTTTGCTCTTTAATTGATCTCTTTATTTAAATACAATCTCTTTAATTAATAATCTGTTACATATCACTCATGTATGGGACCGAAACGTTTGGTGGCTTGGGCGTTGACCCGATCATCTAGCGTACAACTTTTCGAACGCGGTTGACACATGCCATATGTGAGCACCCGGCCCAATTTTCATTACCTTATATGGTAATGCCCCGCCACTGTAAGGGTTCAATTTCTAGTATCTAAGGACCGCGTTTTCTTACTCGGGGAGCTCAGTTTTTCTAAAACTCTCGACACAACGTTACGCCGACACTCTGAGCAAGATCGAGCTATAATCCCCATCGAGCAACGTACCTACTTACTTGGCAGTTTTATTAGGGAATGTCCACTAGACTAATCGAGAAGTAGCTCCCGCGAATGCGCCGCGTAAAAGCCGACATAAAACTTTCGCCGTCAAGGCAACCTAGCAATAGTACTAGTTCAAATAATCGACAATTGTACTTGAGCATCGATCAAAATATATTCAAGTAGTTATTCTCACTTGCATTATTCGCTTACTACAACCCTGTAACCCTATTAACAGTAAGACTAGGGGTATCTCACGAACTCGGTACACCTTTACCGCTCGAGGTGTACCATTACGACAGAGCAAGATCCTAAAATTTCCTAAAAATCTACATGGCTCCCAGGGTATAAAGTCCTTGGTTCGTCCACTCTCTCTAGCGGCTCTTAGGACATAGAGACCCCGGTTCGTCCGTGAAACCATACATTTTTCCTTATAAATCTAACCCTGTGGCTCCCAGGGTATAGAGTCTCTGGTTCGTCCGGAACTCCATTCTCTTTCCTAACCATACCTAAAACCACCGGTCGAGTACTGCCCCCGACGGAATCCAGGATCTCGCGCTAGCGCTTGTGACAAACCATAGCAAATTTGTCAACTCTGTACGCATTTGTAGTTTCCTCGATCACGGATATTTTCAAAATACTTTGCCAATTTTATAGAATCCCGGGCCATTTTCTTCCAAGATTTATGTCACTGACTAAGGGTTTCTTCCACGATACATGACTACGATATCTAGATTTTTTTTAAATTCTTCGAATTTTTTCAGGGTGTATTGTTTTTTCAAAATCATTTTCTACTTCTGCGACTATTTTTAGAGCACTTACTTTTGGATCTTGGTGAATAATTTGCAATACAGATCGAACATCTCTATTATTTAGGATTTTAGGACGACCACTACGTGTTTTATTATCAAGTTTACCAGTTATTTAGAATTTTTTTATTATGTATTGGATAGTCAAAATTTTGTCTACTTACAATGTTATCAATTTCACGTAGAGATTTCTTCTCCTTATACAATTTAACAATTAATTCCTGCATTTCAATGCTTGTTTCTCTTTTAGAAACACTCATTGTCGCTAAATGATTGTTAGACATCTTTCATTTGCATCACGACGTAATGACAACGTAAACAAAACATTATCAGGGAAGTCCAAGTATGTATGTTTCAAAAATTTACTAGATTTATTTTACTACTTTCGTATTTTAGTGTACAAACAATTTTATGTCATACATATTTCGCTTTTTTCTCATTGCATAAAATAGTCTTAAAAAATAATACATTTTTATATAGGTTAATTAATAATATTGTACATACTAATAAATAAACATAATATTATATGAAATTGTTGTTTATTTTCTTTAAAATTACTATTTTAGGGGATGTACGAAGACTTCCGTGACTGCCTGTATATCTCGCCAATAACGCGAACGATGTTCACTGTAAGACGGTCGACTGACCTCTGATTCGGTGACATAAACAAGGTGGCCCAACAAGGAAAATTGTAATAGTGCCAGGTTGCGAGATCTTGGTAAACAGTTTAGAGTTGAATTTTTTTTTAATACATTTATCATCGATGTCAACGATGCGATAGTTTCAGCAGAAACGTGGCTGATACCTTCTATTCCGTTCTTTCGAGGCCTCTGTAATACGCTCAAGGAGTTTTTGTGCCTCTTACGCGATAAAACCTAGCTCAGCCTGTTCAACGATTCCTTTCCTGCTGTCAGACTAGCCTAAATTTTAGCCGCTCCGGCGGCCAGTGTCGAGGTAATACCACATGAAAGCTAATCAATTACGAGACACGCTCGATCGATTTTATCATCGAGTGTATCGCGTTGTGTGCCGTCGAGCGAGCGAGAGGTAAACAACTTCCAGGAAAAATAATTGTCTCGCACGTTTATCAAGATATCAGAACTACCACGGTCGAAGGAGGCTTAAGATTAGCTCGTTATCGCGGCCGATATATGTATTAGCCTCGATTACCTTGAATTAGACTTTTTCGTTTCTTTGGAAGAAAATGTCCCGGGATTTTATAAAATTGGCAAAGTATTTTGAAAATATCCGTGATCGAGGAAACTACAAATGCGTACAGAGTTGACTTTGCTATGATTATTAATTAAAGTGATTGTATTTAAATAACGAGATCAATTAAAAAGCAAACGAGGAAAGAGAACGGAAGTAAATATGTAAATTGATCTCGATTTGATTGAATTAATATCTTGTAATTTAGAATAACTTGTCGCCAGTTCTTTACTTATTAAGATTTTGATTATTTCATAATTTTAGCCACAACTACATCCCTTTCAACAATTATGCTGCTCTTTTATTTCTCTTTGATGGAAACATTTCAATGACCTATAGCTCGTGTAGTTTGCGTTAATTTTGCTTGTAGAAAATATTGTTAATGCTTGAAATGTAAGTTAATGTACGTGTGGAATGCCAATACAAAATAGACAAAACATCCCCTTAATTTTACATTTCTGTCTAATATAGAATACGAAAATCTAAGTTTGAAGTGAAAAACCCGGTTGTAAGTTCATTTTTAAATGAACGATACTGCCCAAGTCGTTCTTAGATTCAGATACAGGAATATTAAAAATATTTCGGGATCCTGAAATACTCGCACGCCCCTTTATTTGCCCATGTGTAATTGAATCATCGTTTTATCTTATCGCTTAATGTATGCGGAACTCTTAACCCCTTGACGTACGATTTAATTTCAAATAATTTGTCAAATTGATACCGTTTAATTTTGTTTAAATTTGTTCGTACAAGGGGTGGCCACGAAAAAGAATAAATTTGTTATATCAATACTTCGTGAATGTAAAACTGTGTTGATTCAAATAAGATTTGATGTCCAGTCAGTAGCTTCATGATTGTGTAATCTTGACATCAAGAACTTATAACGAGTCGTTGTACGGAAAGGCGTTAATGATAAGATTGATAGCGTTCATAAAATGAAACATCGATATTCAGTATCGCGTGCAAGTTCGAGAAAATTCTTTTCTCGTTCGATCCAATATTTAAGCGAAATCGCTCGTCTTCGCTCGTACAATTAGTGCAAATTACTCCGCGAAATCAAGTCTAAGTGCCTGTGTGAACTTTGAAGATGAATGGTGAGTGATTGGAAGTATTTATATTATAATTTTGACAAGTATCGTAAGTATTGTGAATTTTAATAACTAAAATATACAGGGTGGTCCACGTAACTTGTGCAGCTCGATAACTTCCGAAATATGGGTTGCACGAAAAAATTTTGTATACAAAAGTTGCATGGTTTAAAGGGGCACATTATGTAGTGCATTTATTCTTTTTATAGGTGGAGGCATTTCGAAGATTTGAAGGTCAACTTCGTTTTTTTTAAATAATGCTATATTTTTTGTATGAAAATATGGAAGAATTATCGAATTCTGAGTAAAAAAGTATTGACCTTTATTAGCACTAAACCTAATAGCTAACGAGTAATTTCACTTTATTCCTTGATTATTTTCACAGTTCTACAGAAATCTGTGATAAGGTTGCGTCTCCAATTTGATATTACGTGTTCAATTTTGTCAAGAAATAAAGTGAAATTACTCGTTAGAATTCGATATTCTTCCATATTTGCATACAAAAAATATAGCATTTCATTTAAAAAAACGAAGATGACCTTCAAATCTCCGAAATGCCTCCACCTATAAAAAAAATAAATGCACTACATTTCTGTCTAATATAAAATACGATAAGCTAAGTTTCAAGTGGAAAACCCGGTTGTAAATTCATTTTTAAATGAACGATACTGCCCAAGTCGTCCTTAGATTCAGATACAGGGATATTAAAATTTTTTCGGGATCTTGAAATACACGCTCACCCCTTAATTTGC